AGGCAATATTCGATTACAGCCTTAGCAATGAATTAAAAGAATTTAGAAAACAGTGGGTCTTACCTGTTCAGGGAGGGTGACAACCAGGCGAAGAATACAATATTTAACAGTAGAAGAATTAACAGTACAAGAATATGGTTCTTGTACTCTCCTAAAAATATGACTTGTCTCGCTGGTGTCCAAATTAGCTCTCAAAGGGAGAGCCAATCTTCCTCCCAAACCAGGCAAACAACCCCAATATTCCCTATCCCTAAGACAAAGGGAGTACCAGTTAATGTATCCACTGGTCATTCATTGTTTATGTACTCTACGAATTAGGGAAGTGGTCTGGGTGTTTTGACATAAACAAGGCCTATAGGACAGGGGTCTCTTTGTTCCCTTCACCAGTGGCATATACCAGCTAGGTGGTCGAAACATAAAAAGGTTTAAAGGGACAATTCAAAGAGGGGTGTAACAGTTTAAAGCAATATAGGTTTACTCAAAAACAGAATATACCTTGTTAATAAACAGGGTCTGACACTCTCCCCTCCTAGAATCATGGCGTCCCGCCATGGCAATTAAAAAAAAACTATCGTAAACAGGTCTGTAGGAGAACTAGACTCTGCTTTTGAACAGCAAGGTGTTCTTCCATGAGTTTAAATTTCGCCCTCCCAAGAGTACCATACCAGAGACGATCTGGGGGAACACGTCTCCTTGATGATCTTCTAGGGCGTCCTTCTGGCTCATCTTCTGTGTCTGTGACTGGGACCGTATCATCAGGGTCTGTGATGTGAGGCTGGGGTTCTAGAATGTTAGGGTGATCTGGTACAAACTCCTGAGCGTCAGGGTTCAGGGATACATTTGGATCTTCCGGACCAGATGGGGTAGGAATTAAGCTATGTCGTCGAGGGGCAGGAGTGGGACGAGTTAGGATGACAACTGGATCCACAGGAAGAAATAGATCCGATTCCGATTCACCATCAGAAGATCGTAACGTTGGAATAGGCTGTGTGTTGGTTGGTAGTCTCTTTGATCTACGAGGCTTTGGTCTTGGAGCTGGTTTGGGCTGCACGACTTCCACATCAGGCTCCTGAGGGAGGAATCCGCATGGTAGAAGAAGGTTGCGATGGAGTGTCCGCTCGGGGCCATTATCATCTATGGGTTTCACCACATAGACTGGCATGTCACTGCTTATCCTCCTGACTATGCTGTACTGTCTAGACCCCCACCGGTCAGCCAGTTTGTGCTTGCCCTTGAAACCCAGATTTTTGACAAGGACCCTGTCTCCAGCTGTGAGGGCTTGGTCTCGAACCGTCCGGTCATATCTCTTCTTTTGATAAGCGGCAGCCTTTTCAACCTGACCGGCAGCCAACCTATGGGCTTGGTTCAGCCGTTCTCGCAGACCTTGGATGTACTTATGGTGTGACGGAGCCGCAGCTTGTTGGTCTCCAAGCCCAAACTGTACATCTATCGGCAGTCGGGGTTCCCTCCCAAACATCAGAAGATATGGAGACATTCCGGTGGCACTATGCTTGGTACAATTGTAGGCGTGGACCAGGGGTTTTACATGGAGACGCCATTCCTGTTTCCTCGCGTCCTCCAACGTACCAAGCATATTGATGAGGGTCTGGTTGAATCTCTCGACTTGGCCATTCCCTTGTGGATGGTAGGGTGTAGTTCTGGACTTTCGAATCCCGGCAATCTGACACAGTTCCGCTATCAAGTTAGCCTCGAAATCCCTGCCCTGGTCAGAATGCAGCCTCTCCGGGAAACCGTAGTGGATGAAGAACTGCTCCCACAGAACCTTTGCCACTGTCTTGGCCTTCTGATCCTTAGTAGGATAAGCCTGAGCATACCTGCTGAAGTGGTCAGTGATGACAAGGATGTTGGTAGTGTTCTTGTCATCAGGTTCTAGGGAGAGGAAGTCCATGCATACCAACTCCATAGGTGCAGTAGTTTTTATGTTGACCAAGGGAGCTGACCGGTGGGCACGCCGCTTTCGCTGAACACACCTCTCGCAGGTTTGACAGCGATGTTCCACCTCCGCATCCATCCGTGGCCAGTAGAATCTGCTGCGAAGGAGGTCGAGTGTCCTTTCCATCCCAAGGTGGCCAGTCTCGTCATGAAGGAGTCGAAATGCTTCCCCGCGATGGCTTTTGGGTAAAACCATCTGAAGCATTGGTCTATCATCTACACCTTTGCCAACCTTATAGAGCACACCATCCTTCAACTTCAGGTGACGTAAGTGCCGTAAGATTACTCTGGCCTCCTGGGGCATCTCCAATCGCAACTGTGATGTAACTTTCGTCTCATTTTCAATGACCTTGATCACCTCCCGGATGGAGTCATCTTCAAGCTGTAATCTCCGCCAGTCTCCAGGAGTCAACGAAGGGAGTGCAGTTTGCCCTGGAACAGGCAAGTTAAACTCGTCTGGAATGGCTGCTTCACTGTCAGTGAGCATCTCTATCAGGGCAGAATTTTCTTCTTGATGCACCTCGCAGATGGCTTTGAAAGCATCTTGTGGGCAGACACCCTCATCTCCCTGTAGGCGTTCCAGAAGTTTAACGATCTTGTCTTGGGTGTTGATCGAGTCGTCATCATCTCCGAGGGATGCTTGAGGTTTCCTTGAAAGTCCATCTGCATCACCGTTTCTTTTGCCAGGCCGGTACTTGATAGTGAAATCAAAATTAGCGAGGGCAGCTAGCCAGCGGTGACCAGTGGCATCCAACTTGGCGGAGGTAAGGATGTAGGTCAAAGGATTGTTATCGGTTAGGACAGTAAACTTAGCCCTGTGGAGGTAATCTACGAACTTCTCTGTTACTGCCCACTTTAAAGCAAGGAATTCCAGCTTGTGCGCTGGATAGTTCGTCTCGCTTTTTGACAAACCCCTGCTGGCATAGGCGATGGGTCTTTCCTTGCCGTCAACCATCTGGTACAACGCAGCACCAAGCCCAATGGTACTAGCATCAGTATGAAGGATGAAGGGTGATGAGTAGTCGGCAAAAGCTAGGATTGGTGCTGTGGTGAGCTTGTTTATCAACTCCTCAAAAGCATCTTGGCACTTCGCTGTCCAGTTGTCACCAAAGGGTGTTGATGGCTTGGGTTTAGCAGGTATGGACTTGCTAGACTTGGACGAGCTCTGCTTCTTCCTTCGCTTTTGGAGTGGTTCATATTCACGCAGTAAGTCATGAAGGGGTTTCGCAATACGGCTATAATGAGGGATGAACCTTCTATAGTAACCTGTGAACCCGAGGAACGTCTTTAACTCCTTCGCGGATAGAGGTCTTTCCCATGACTGGACAGCAACAATCTTGTCTGGATTCGTGCTCACCCCATCCTTGGATACGACGTGCCCAAGACAGTTGACTGATGTCTTAGCAAAACAGCACTTCTCTGGATTGAGTTTCAGACCGTACTCTCGTAGCCGTGATAGAACTTTGGTCAGTCGTTCGAAGTGTTCTTCTAGGCTGGAAGAGAAGACTAACAAGTCGTCAAGATATACCAGGACATCTGACATAGCCATATCTCCCATACACTTCTCCATCAATCGTTGGAAGGTCGCTGGTGCATTGGTGATCCCTTGGGGCATCCGATTGAACTCGTAGAACCCGAGAGGACACCAGAATGCTGTCTTTGGCTTATCTTCCTCTTCCATCTCGACCTGGTAGTACCCGGACTTAAGATCAAGGGTGGAGAACCAAGCTGCTCCAGATAATGTGTGTAGGGTATCTTCTATCTTAGGAATGTTGTACTGGTCCTTGACAGTACGTTTGTTTAATTTCCTGTAATCTATGCAGAGTCGAAGGTCTCCGTTTTTCTTCCGGACAAGAACAATGGGTGATGCAAATTGACTCTGCGAATCTCGTATAATGCCCATTTTCTTCAGTTCCTGGAGATGACGCCGGGTGTCTTCATAGTCGGCAGGAGGAATCCTTCGGCAGCTCTCTCGAAAGGGAGTGTCGTCTGATAGTTGGATGCGGTGCTTGACTGAAGAGGTGCACCCAATGTCGAGGTCATTTACAGAGAACACATCGTGGTAGGAATGTAGGAGTTTGGTCAATCTGTCTCTGTCCTCTGAAGTCAAGGAAGACTCAGCAAGGTTTATGTTAAACTCTGTCTCCTTCCTTACCTCGGGGTTGGTCTCTGCAGTATTGCAATTTACCTTCTGGGGCTCGGTGGAACTCTCAAACACATCTACCGCAAAAGCATATGCAATGGGGACTCCACCAGGAATCACAATGTCTCGTTGTGATTCATTGCATACTACCACCTGTACTGTGTAAGAGGATGACTCAGAAGGTGACGAAAGGGTGGGTTTCACAATCAAACCACCAGCAGAAAAACAATTGTTGCCTTCTTCTATCATGAGTAAGGATGCTGGTGCTCCATGAAAGTCCACTCTGCCTTTCAATGTTGTCGTCTCGCCACTCTTTAGCTTGGCAGCTTCATTCTTGGGTAGAATGACCTTCAAGGGTGGTCGCAGGTTAAGAATTTCATTTTGTTCAGTGTTAACTCGTCGAAAGGCAGAGACAAGGGCACTACTTGCCTTCAACGTCTGAAGAAAATCTGCTCCTGCCTTCTGCTTGCAGCTCTCGTACATTCTCCTTACTACACTAGTGTTGGTACCAATGAGGAGGGGTATTCGATCGCTGCCATCTCGGGTTGGAGTAACCAGTGCCAGTGTGGTTTCGTCTGCTTGAACGCCGGCCTCGTCAGCGTTGAAGTGCAAATGGATCTCGATGTAGCCAATGTAGGGAACTGTGCTTCCACTTGCACCAACCACGAGCAGGTCGTCAATGGATTCCAAGTGACGATGCGCCAACTTCTTGTGATAAAAATCAGCAGATATGCATGTCACTTGGGATCCAGTGTCCATAAGGCACTCACAGGGCACTCCGTCGACCTCAGCCCAGACAGTGGATTGGTCACCCACTAGTGCAGCTGGAGATTTCTTGGATGTGGCCTGAGATGGCTTCATCTGCAAATTCACCTTTGCAGATCGCCTTATGGGACTCTTCTTGGGTTTGTCTTTGGCCACCTGTCGTCCCTTTACTGGCGGCCTTCGGCGTTTCCCGCTGGCTGGTTCCTTGCTGCAATCTTCTGCTGCACCAGAACAGCATTGGTTTCACCATTGCACTCATCCATGCGATGGCCATCTTTTCCACAGTTGTAGCAGATCAGGCGATAAGCGGGCTTCCTGGGTCCTCTCTGTCTCCCATTAGACCTCTGGTTGGTGGCTTCTGGTCTTGCCTGGGCAGCTGCACTCCCAGAGGGCATTAAGCTCGAAATTTGATGCTGCAAGGCGACCATCATCTCGTGAAGCTCTGCCACTCGATCCGTTTCTTGGGGGACTACCTGCTCATGGCATCCCTTTCCTTTCTGCCCACTCTTTCGTTTCACCTCCTTTTCCTTCTCTTTCTGCTCCTCCTGTCTCACCTCATGAAGGAGGGACACAAAATCAGGGGGTGGGAGCCGCTTTCCCAATGCCAGGGTGTGAAGGAGGGCGTCGTTATACAGGCACCCACGAGAGAACTGATGGACCCTCGCCTTGTCCATCCTTCCCGCATTTATCCCATCGTTCTCTTGGGCCCTGATCAGGAGGTCTTGGAGTCGAAGTAGATAGTCCGATGGAAACTCCTCACTGGCCTGATAACATTCTGTGAAAAGTAGGTACAGCTCCTCCCCATCGGAGGTGGTGCCAAATGCCTTCTCCAGCCCCTCTAAACTATCCTTGGCGCTCACACCTTTCCCTAATGCCCATACTACGTTACTGGCAGGAGGTAAAAGAGCTTCTGTTAGCCTGCTGATTTTCTCAGACTCCGACAAATCATCCGCGTCGACTATCAGCTGGGTCTGACGTCTCCAATTGTCGAAGTCCGCTTCACCATTTGGTACAGGTCGTCGCCCAGAAAACAGACGGAGTCGGCGCCTGTGGGAAGATGGAGCTGAGACTATGTGTTTCACCACAGTCTCTGGTACGGTATCATGTTTGGGCTCTATTGGGGGACTAGCATTGGTACTACTGCTATCACTAAGTGATTCTGTGAGGTCTAAGAGTGTCTTACCCTGATCGGCCAGAAACTTCTCTAGCTCGGCCTTAAACTCAGAGTCGAGAGACATCTTTAAACGATTATAAGGGTTAACTTTCCAAACGTGGTAAAAAAATAAATTAAAATATTAAGGTGCCTAAATGTACAATTTGTAGCACCAATCAGGATTTTAAAAAAAGTGTTAATTGTTATATAGAAGACAACAAAATAATTAAATGATGAGAATTGTTCGAAATAGCAAAATAAAAAACACAATAACAACTGAGCTGGACAAGCTACCCCTTGTTTACTGTTACGCCTGTCAGTAGTAGGGCTGCTACTGATTTGACCTGAACAACAGCAAAAAATTTGATAAGGTCACACTTCAAATTATTAAGACCACTTCCAAATATACGCTATGTCCAACTTAGTGTTTTACAAGTTGTGGCAATCAACATAACAACAATCATACACAGAAAATAGTTAGTCTCTTCCTAGCAAAGAGAGAGGTAAAGAGAACCTAATTCTCAATTAAAGCAATTACAAAAAATGTATAATCTAAACAGGATTTTCCTTTTGGGAAAAAACAACTATTATTTTCCAAGAAAATTTAACATCCGGGCAGTGCCTCCATTTGTGTCACAGGTAAATCCTTGTTCACCTGCACCCAGTTCAGGGATTTATTTTATACAGGAGATTTTAGTTAAAGAAACAAGAAAAACAAATAAGGATATCTCCACAGAGTAGTTTGAGTGAAAGATCCGAAAGAAAGGATTTATTAACACTTAACCTCAAAGGTAGGTTAAGCTACAAAATATCACTCATCCAAATAATAAGTATAATACATAAAAAACATGTATTGGTAACCATATAACAGTTATATATATCAGCGGAATATTTAGCCGACATGCAAGGCTTCACAAACTAACAGTGATAACTCTTAACATATACAGGTAAAATAACTTTACAAGGTTTAAAAGAAAGGGACTATAATTATCTTGAGGTATAAAACTATCAATCCTTCTGTTCATCTATGGCCAGGGCGGAGAGCGTTGCCTTGGTAACAGGGGGACAGTCTAAACCAGTTCCGATCGTCTAATACAGTAGGACTTTTAAGGGGCTGAACAGGGCGACCGATATCTGTTCAGGGAGGGTGACAACCAGGCGAAGAATACAATATTTAACAGTAGAAGAATTAACAGTACAAGAATATGGTTCTTGTACTCTCCTAAAAATATGACTTGTCTCGCTGGTGTCCAAATTAGCTCTCCCATTATTAATACAACAATGAGATTTTAATAAATGTAATCCTATAACCCGACATGAATAGAATGAATAGAAAGAGAAAGAGAGAAAAGGAGAGAGAGAGAGAGAGAGAGAGAGAGAAAGAAAGAGAGAGAGAGAGAGAGAGAGAGAAGAAAGAGAGAGAGAGAGAGAAAAGAATGAGTTGATAACAACTAACTTAATAAACTTATTCACAACAAACTAAGAATAAAATATATACAAAGTAGTATAGAACACAACATAACTATGCTACGAAACATGAGCTCAACTGTACAACGATGTCATGAAATGATAAAGTAAAACCTAAGCTATTATATTCCAAGTCTCATCTCGACTGGAATAGAATTGAAAAGTTCAGAACATAACTAAACTTTGGCAAATTGAGTTAGGCCAAATTATTATGTTGATGAAAATACAAATATCTTTCTTAGTGTAAACCAAGAATAATTATCAGGGCAGTATAACATACTGAAATAGAACATATCCTATTCTATTCTGACTGAAGGTAATTCATTTCACTTCTTCTATCAAATAAAATACTACTAAAGACTTATGATAGTGAATATGAATAACTATATTAAAAAGGCAATATTCGATTACAGCCTTAGCAATGAATTAAAAGAATTTAGAAAACAGTGGGTCTTACCTGTTCAGGGAGGGTGACAACCAGGCGAAGAATACAATATTTAACAGTAGAAGAATTAACAGTACAAGAATATGGTTCTTGTACTCTCCTAAAAATATGACTTGTCTCGCTGGTGTCCAAATTAGCTCTCAAAGGGAGAGCCAATCTTCCTCCCAAACCAGGCAAACAACCCCAATATTCCCTATCCCTAAGACAAAGGGAGTACCAGTTAATGTATCCACTGGTCATTCATTGTTTATGTACTCTACGAATTAGGGAAGTGGTCTGGGTGTTTTGACATAAACAAGGCCTATAGGACAGGGGTCTCTTTGTTCCCTTCACCAGTGGCATATACCAGCTAGGTGGTCGAAACATAAAAAGGTTTAAAGGGACAATTCAAAGAGGGGTGTAACAGTTTAAAGCAATATAGGTTTACTCAAAAACAGAATATACCTTGTTAATAAACAGGGTCTGACAGACAAAATGATTTTGTAATCTGATCTGTAATTGGCTTTGGATTTGTGCCATCAATATATTATCTCGCAAGACATTAAAATGTCTTTTCCCCCTCTCAGTATCTCCTCATACCCCCCCCCCCCTCTCTCTCTCTCTCCTCAGTCTCTCTCTCTCTCTCTCACTCTCTATTCCTCAACCAATTTCACGCTTAGATTGGCAAAAATAATTTTCTCGCAAAGAAACTCATTCTGGTTGCGTATCAAATTGCACTCATTTACTTAAAAGCTTTAGGGAGCAAAAGTGTGTCTCTTTCATATGCGATAGGACAGAAGCGAAAGCCTAATTTCCTTTCTATACGTATACATACCATCGCCAGAGGGAGTTTCATTACATATTCCGTTTCAAGCCAGATATTAAATGGCCACTTTTTAATTCATCTCATGAAAAAGAGCTATCATTTCTGCTCACCATTTCGGTAAAAAAAGAAAACTGTTAATATCCCTAACGACATTTTGTGAAAGGGTACGAAGATTGTCATTCTGGAATTAGCGTTGAAAATAGATTAAACGTAGAGTAGAGACGTTGAAATGGCTTCTTTTTTAAAATGTCAGAGTCATAACGAAGGATTTCAGTTCAGGATGGAAGGTGAAAATGATTATGTGCAATCTTGGGCGCAGGAATGTTTCGCAAAGTTCTGATAAATTCTACAAAACTTACGAAAGCCTGTTTTTGTGTGGTTTTGTTTGGGGGATGTTTTTTGATTGTTTCTAAACGATCTTTATTCGGGTTTGTAACAATATGTTATACTAAAAACGTTAAATATATATTAATAGATACAGATATACAGGCGACTTGAATAACAAACAAAAAACCTGTTTATGAACGCTTGTCGTTATTCTAATGTTTACTTGGGTCTCACGTCATTTTGGTTTTAAAAGCAAGCATATGGACGGTCGACTCTTGAGGAAAGAATCGGCCAATGCTGATAACAAGAAAGAAAGATGATCATGCCTCGATGAATAAAGCAATAAAAACAAGAAGCGTAATACCTCTGGTCTGAAGAGAGTAAATGGGTTTCATAATGTCATTTATTTGACAAGATATGCCTCGCCTTATTCTTCAATCCAGTCTCGGCTAATGCCTCCTGAATTAGCATCCAAAGTCCTAAGTGTGTCGTCCGCCGTAATCGCTGACTTAATGATCATCTTAGATCCATTTTCAAAACCCATATTTCTTCCTAATTTCCCTTCTTTGCGTACAATCTTCATCCCTCTTTTTTAGCACAAAAGCCGCACCATCAATCCAAGGCTCCCTCATTGCGCCAAAGAACATCTTAAAAGGAGTGCGTTCCCATTACCAAATGAATTCGAATATCAATGCTTTGAGGGCAATTTGGAAACGTTCATGCCCGACAAACTGCGCGTCAACGCATTACATAAACGCTCAAAGACGTTTTCTTGCTAGTCGAGAAGTGTGGTGCGTAATAAATGGGAACGCGCACATCACGATCGTTATCATCTCAAACCCTGTCATAAAAGTGAAGAAAAAGCCGAAAGTGAGAACAAGCTAATCATCCTCCTATCCCCAAGATGCATTATCTCCTTAATGGCTATATTTATATCCCATTATAGCCATCTATCGTCGATGTAGTTAAAAAGAAGTAGACAAAAAACTCCAGAATAGGTAGGAGGTTATGTCCATCAGGACTTACATGCATCATGAAGAAACAAATTAATAGAGGGGGGGGGGGGAGTTGTTGAATATAGCCAAGAAATTGATGGAAGAATCTTCTGATATGTATAAGGAAGAAATACGTTTTGTATTGCTCTCTTGTGTGCAATGATACTAAAATTATTGAGATTAAATGATTTTTAATAAATAAATCAAGAACTTAAAACATTAGTGTTGATACTATTTTAAACTAGTCAGTAGTCAATATTTCAATAATGCCTATTCCGTCACCCCTTTTCTTCCATAACACTCACTGATTTATTCCTGAGGTCCACAATGACTACAATGTGAACTGTTATATTGTATTTTATATTCTAAAAGAATTAGTCGTAATTCTGTACACATTTGTTTGTGATTCGATTAATAAATGCAAAATAGATATATGGAATATGAAATATTAAAGAAAAGTAAAATTTATGTATACCGGTCATGTTATCCCCAAAAAGCATGTTTTAAAGAGAAATATTATTTGTTAATAATTTGAGCGCCTGAATAATCATCAAGTACATCTGAAATCTTCATAATTCTGTTCGCATATTGATATGAAACATTGTTAAAAACGAGACAGTTTGGTATGTCTCATTGTTAAGACAATGTAACCTGCCAGTTATTTTCTAGTTACAAGGCCTCACTCGGCAGTTTACTTTAAATAGTGGTGGAAGTATTCGAATGTAATTATCTCTGATTCTCTGTGTTACATTTTGTATAAACGCTGTACCACTTGCAGCCTTTAAACTCAAATTGCAACATAAAGACCGGAAATCCATCTGCAAATATATCTGTCTCTGACTTGTTTACCAGTGCCACGGTTCCTATTGTTAATTAGCTCCCTGCTTAAAACACTACCCGAGCTAGCAGACAGCTATTGTTCTATACTATCACATCCATGAACTTCCTTTGCAGTTCACGCACTTTTCTCTCTCCCCAGAACATTGCCCTCTAGTACGGTCTGGTAAAGCTGATGTATCTGAAAATGAATTACAAACGTATGAATTAGAAGGATATTAGTGCCATTAGATATCCATAATCATTTCTGATGGGATTTTCAACGGAAATGATCAGTTTGGTTTTCTTTGGAAGTGCTATGTCACGCGTTAGAGAGTCGACTTTCAGATTTTTTAATCATAATCATTTTTAGCAATGTTTTCCCACAGCCCGTTGGCTCTGCTCTAAGCACTAGCTGGCAACAGTGTTCAGATTAGTTTTGTTATTAAAAATTACGTATTACAAATGTTGGCATAAGATGAACAACATTAGTGCCTTTAGACGGGTTCGAGTGATTATAAATTATAATGATAATATAAATTATAATTTTTAATTAGATTGTTTTTCCTACAAGAAAACTGCATAATATTATTAAGCATTTTTGTATTTATTAGGTACCTTCATTCACACGGTAGATATATATATAAATTGGTAATCTGCTTTGAAAAATAATTGTTTCAAACAAGAATGTATTTAAAGAATCTGCCAGATATTTAATGTATTTGAATATTGACAAAGTATGAAGATAAGCCGGGGTGTCATCCATACGTCGCATCAATGATTGGGTTCTTGATCCATATTTCCTAGCTTCATCCAGCTTATTATAAAGTGTAATTGCCTTCTAAATTATGGAAGATGGGAGACGGAAGATAGAGTTCATAAGTATTTTAAAGACATTACATAGGTTATAGTTCTAAGGGATTCATAAGGTGAGCGATTAAGGGGTGCAATAGTCATGGTAGTGGTGGTAGTTGGGGGGGGGGGGGGGGCAGGGGTTGTGGTGGTGTTGGTTGATGTGGTGATGGTGCACGGGGTGTTTCCCCCTTATTCGGTATACGAATAATTGGGGTTTATTATCTAAAACTAATCGAATTATATTCAATGTATTGACAAATATTCACATTTTGAAGGTGTTTTTGATGCATATTCTTTGGCTATTAATTTGCCGTTGAATTCACTGAAAGGAAAGAAACTTATTGACAGGCAGCCTGTTAGTGAGACTAGTGCGTCGCATGTAAGTACCCATGTAAACGATTCATTTAGATGAAAGTACCTCGACCTTGTTGGCTCCCGGTAATTCCCGAGATACGAAAAAGAGATTGGAGTTTTAAGAAGACGGAAGAGGGGACAAGACAGAGCAATAATGTTCTCTGAAAGCGAGGTGCAATTTACTAAGGTGTGTCAAGGCTTTAATTTGATTTATTTCATCTCTCCCTCTCTGTCTCTCTCCATCTCTTTCATTCCTTATACCATCCCCCCCCCTCTCTCTCTCTCTCTCTCTCTTTCTCTCTCTCCATCTCCCTCTCTCGCTTTTGCTTTGCTCTTTCAACACAAGAACATCTTCTCGATTTGTCTCCCGCTTCATGCAGAGTAGTATTATTTGAGCGTTTTTGAGTGAGGGCGAGTGTCTGATTAAAGTGATATAGTGGAAGCGGGCTCTTTAAATTGAACCCTGTCTCCAGCATGCTAGAGTCTAGGAGGAAAGACGTTAATAGGGTTGGGACTCCCCGAGCCACGCATCTAGCACACCTGCGCAATCACCATCCCCCTGTCTCGTGTTGGCTCGCTCCTCTGAGCTGACTCTTTTCATTATGTTAAGGTTGATAAAATTGTACCCAACACATCTATCTTGGCATGGATGGACGCGCGCGTTAATAGCTTATGCTTTCCATTCGATTACAGAATAGATTTATTTCTTCTCCCTTTTCCTCTTAGCCCACTTGACTCGTTCTTCGAGGCATTTTTCCTCTTTTCTCTTTCTCCTAATCTCCTACTCTCGTCTCTAATAAAACCGGGGGTTTTCCTCTCGCTTAAGTCTCGTGGGTAGAGTTTAATATCTAGCGAACAATAATTGCGAGGGACCTGTGAAGTTGTTTCGAAGCTGGGCTTTTTGATGAGAGAGGGAGCGGATCTTGAGAGGGGGGGGGGGGGACCTGTACGATTTCCGGGACGTTAACATGGTTAACGGACAGGGGAGTAATATCGCCAAGCCAGGTTTAATTGGAAGGATTGCAATGAGTGAGTGAGGAAAGGCAAGATGCCGAACTAGATTACCAAACCAATATTCGAGACCAGTGTCTTCTTTCTCATGGTCATAATCTGTCGTGAAAAAACGAGAAACTTTGGCCTTAAATAGCCTTAATGAGCTCGTATTGATCTTATGTTGTTTCGAATTCTTAAAAAATAAGTTTCTGCCTCTTTTCATCTGTCCCCTTCCCACCTCCGGCTCCACCTCTATTACTCCTACTACTACTACTACTACTACTACTACTACTACTACTACTACTACTACTACTACTACTACTACTA